CGTCCCGGACAACGGCCCTGAACCGACAGCGGGCTCCACCTCCACGGACTCGGTGGGACGCGCAAGCACAGCCTCGACATGAGCCCATGCTTGGTTCTCTGCCTTCTTCCGCCCAGCAAGCGCCTCTTCGGAGCCGTCGGCGACCCCGTTCGGCTTGCACCTGTACCAGATGGTCTTCCTGCACACTCCGTCATTGCAGACCTGCGGCGTCCGGTACTGGACGGTGAAATTCTCGCCGCGCTCGTCCTTGACATAGGTGATGCGGTAAGGTAGAACTCGCGGGTGTCGCGGGGGTCGGGGATCTTCCTCAGGCCCCGCCGCGGCGGACGAGGCCGCTGGCAGGAATGTCACCAGGGTGTGAAGCGGATAAGACCCGCCCCACGAGTGCGTGTCGACAAAGACAGGGCGAACCTCGAGCGGGTCGCGCTCGGGGTCCACGACGCTGGCCACCGACTTGCAGAGGTTCGCCTCGACCTGGGGGTCGCCCTCCGCGTAGGCGCGCACGAACTGCCGAAGGCCGGCGTAAGCCTCCGGCTCAGAGTCAGAGTGCTCCAAGTCCGCGCCGTCGGTGCCAATCTGATCGAGTGAGGAAGGCCACGTGACTTGATCATCAGCCTCGGCATCCCCCATGCCAGCGACGTCTGCAGCTCGATCAGGATACTCTGGAGCGGTGCCACGCGACATCGGGCCCGCTGTACCGACATGGTACTTCGACCTGGTAGAAGAGGAAGTAGAGGGAGCAGCCATCCGTTCTGTGGCTGGGACCGCGTCATCGGTCTCGGCAGGCTTTACCTTGGCGGACTTCGCCTTCTGGGTCTCGTCGTCGACCTTGCCGGACTTCGGCTTGACTGGGGCGCCATCGATCTCCTCGAGAAACCGATCCATCTGCGCCTGCTCCTGTGCGCTCGTGGGCGCCGTGAACATCTGTTCTATGACTCGACGAACAGGTCCACCAGGAACTCGGAGAGTATGCAATATGTCCCTGTCCTCGGGATTGCGACTAGGGGCGTCGCCCAGAACGTTGTCTTCACCTCGCAGCCAAACTCGAACGACCCGCGAGCCCAAGTCCTCCAGGTCGAGGGCCCAGCGCAACAGCTTCTTTGAGATACGCTTGTTGGCGAACAACGAGTCGGTGAAGATATTATTCCGATGGTCCGTGTAGACTATTACAACGAACCCTTTTGTCAAATGATGGGTGGCAGACAAAGCCTCCCTGAGGCCACAGAGCTCTCGCTCGAACGTGCTCCAGCCCTGCTCGGTGGCGTTGAAGCCGCGGCCGACTACGGCCACTGGGCGCAAGGGACCGTCCTTCTCGCGCCGCTGAGCTAGGGTAGCCGCCCATGCGATGTCCGAGGCGTCGACGTACAGCTCGATAGGGCGACCGGAACTCGGGTCGGCTGCCGCGGAGTAATCCAGCGTGGCAAGACCCACCTCACGGGCGAGCGAGCGCTTGAGCACGTTGAAAGCCTTCTGTGCCTCTGCGTCCTTCTGGTAGTCCACGAACTTAGCCCCTTTTTTTCATAGACTTCTTGAGCGGCGTCTCTAACGAGCTGAAGTTCGGGATAAACTCGCGTACGAAGTTGCAGTAAGCCCTGAAGCTGACCAGATCGTCGATGCTTTTGGGCTCCGGCCACTTCTCAATCTTGTCAGCCTTGCCTGGGTCCACGTAGCGAAGGCCACGCCCAAGCTTGAAACCCAAGAGATGGATGAACTCGTGAGCGAACTTGGACTTCGTGAGTTTGAACTGAATGTTCCTGCCCTTGGCCGCCTGCAAGAAACGAATGCAATGGTCGATGTGGCGGTCCACCACGTCGTCGTCGGCGTCGTGCTCGTACGCCTCGGTAGACAAGGTGCAGTCGTCCATGAACACCGAGTGGAACTCCTCGTCGTCCTTACCGCGAAGGTCCCCGAACGTCCAGTCCATCAGCTTCTGGAAATTGCGGGCCCCTGCTTGGCGCCGAAGAACAAAACCAAAGGTCGGAGCATTCCGCGCTTGGTAAGCAACGTAAAAGCCCTCTGCGCCTCGGGGGCAAGCTCGATCTGCGTGAAGCCCCAGATGCAGTCCAGCTGCGTATGTAAAGCTCCTTGTTGAGCTCGTGCGAGGCACTCGTCGGCGCGCAAGCTCGGCCACGCCTCCTCCTCGGTGCAGCTGTTGGGTTATCGGTAGTCCCTGACAGGGCGCCCGAGGAGACCCTTGCTGTCTTGGTCCACTACGAACGAAGGAGATCCCCACTCTGAACGCTCACCTGGAAGTAGCCAACGTGCCTTGCCCTCCTCGACCTCGATGTCCTCGTGGTAGCGTAAATGGAGCTCGTCGAACTTGCTGAGGGGGAAAGGCTGCGTGACCTTCGGCACCGCATCTGGCCTGACCTTGATGTCGGCCACGAAGTCTTTGACCCTCGGCGGGTTGCAGCCAGGCAGCCACAGACAGCACGTAAATGCACGCACGACCTTGGTGAGGAAGCGGCGTTTCTGCTTCCCCGCGAGCTGCGGCCCCAGGAGAGTGCCTGCCTGCCTCTCAGCCTCGTCCTTGTAGGCCTCGGACTCCTGGTTCGGCCAGCTGACCTCCGACGCGCGCTTCTTCTTGTCCTCCTCGATCTCCTTCACCAGGTCGGGGAAGAGGACCTCGTGGCGCTCCTTCTTTCCACGAGTCTTGAAGGACGTCTTCAGCATCTGGGCCTCTGTCGCAGTACTTGCCGACGTAGCAGCGTTGGCACTTGTCTCGACCTCTGAGTCGCAGTAGGCCTCGCTTCGAGCCTGCCACAATGAGTAAATCTCCGCCGCCCGTCTGGACTCCTCCCTGCCGAGGGCGTTGAGGACGTCCAAGTCACGCTGGGTGGCATCACGGGCACGAAGTAGTCGTTGACCAGGGCCAAGATGCACGCGATCGTGCACGATCAGGTCCACGTTGTAGGTGCCGTTCTGGACTATCAGCGGCCCCTCGATGACCTGGCAATGGTCGGGTAGATCAGGACCTGGCTCGATCCAAAGGCTGCTCGAGCGAGCCTCCGGCGGCGCGCGCATCGAGATCGTCTTCACGATGCTCTGGCCAGGCGGCGCCTCCACGACAATGTGGTCCGAGCACCGCAGGAAGGTATGTGTATTCGGGTCGTCCTGCTCGCCTGGCAGCACGGTCGGGAAGCGAACCCCGAGCGACCTGAGCTCGATGGAGTCACGGTCGGAGACGAACCCGCACCTGTCCAAGGATGGCTTCCCGATGAGCAAGTCCTCGGTGCAATTCGGCACGACAAGGAACCCCATGCTGACCGTCTCGCAGGCGACAGCACCGTTCTCGCGAAAAGATACCTTCAATGTAGCGAGTCGGTTCACCACCACCGTCTGGCCGCGCTCGAAAGAGCGGCAGGTGATTGGCTCGATGGCCTCCACGTCCTCGACGAAATTGGACGTCCGGGGCTCCTCGAGCAGTGCCTTCAGGAAGTCGCGGTCTATGGAGTTGCGAGTAGCTCCGGTATCGAAGACTGTTTCAGTTCTCGCTTCCCTATCCACGTGAAGGCTCGACAATTGTATCCGCCCGACACCTGCAAGACCATATGCTTGGAGCCACCGCTTGAAAGATGACCGACCTTGCGAACGAGCTCGTGGTTCGCCGCTGCTGCCATCAGCGGAGAGGGCGAATTGGCAACTCTGCTCTCAATGCCGCAAGCGATGACCCCGATCACCATCATGAGGGCTGCGAACCCAAGGAGGAACATGACGGCCTTCCCCGTGAAATAGCGCACCTGAGACAAAGTACGCCTAAGCCAGCTGCGCGGGCGAGCTGGGCCCCACAAGTCCGAGTCGAAGGTCTCGCTCGAATTAAGATTCATATCAGACAGCTTCTTGGACTTGGCCCCGCCCCCGATGCTGTCGATGTCGTTGTCGGTCTCCATCGTCATCAACGACGCCAGGAGCCTGGCGGCACGGTCCGTCCGCTCTTGTTGGTCAGTGGCGTGCGAGCCCTCGAACGTGAGCAAGCGGGCATTGCCGCCTCTTCCCTTGGACTTCGCCTTACCACCGCCCTGCTCGCCACCTCTACCTCGTCCTTTGCCACCACCCTTGTCGGCCTTCTGCTTGAGGTACTCCTCCGCCTCCTTGGCGCCCTTCTCGGTGTAGCAAAGGGCGTGGTGGCGACTGAGGTGACCCATGCCTCCGCAAGCCTGGCCCTTGTTCAAATGCTTGTACCAGCATGGGATGGCGTCCTTCACCGCCTTGGTGACGTCCCAGCCCTGCTCCTCGCTGGCTTTCTGATTCGGGCAGACCGAGCACTCGGGGTGCGTGCCCTTGCAACGGGGGCAATCGCCCGTGACGGCCCGCGGCGCGGCCTCTGCCTTCGACCTGCCCTTGTCTGGCTCGCGGGCCGCCCTCCACCGGCTGTCCAGCTGCTGCGCCGTCGGAGTCGGCGGGGACGGGAAACCTGACGATACCGCCGAAGCACCTTGCAGGCTCTCGATGATCTGCTTGGCCTTCGCCACCTTCGCCTCCTCCTGCCTCTTGGCCTCAGTCTTGGCCGCGGCCGACCGCTTCGCGTTCGGCTCGATCGAAGTGTTCAGCAGCTGCCCCGGCTTCGTCTCGGACGACTGGAGCCCCACTCGAGCTCGTGCCCTGACATACTGGCGGCACCGGCCCAGGATGGTCATGCTGCTGTCCTCGTCCTCGCGGATGGCCATGCGCCTCGGGAAGGTAGGGAGGTCCATCAAGTAGATCAACAGAGCGCTGCCTTCGATCTTCGTCTTGAACTCTTCGATCTCCCTCATCAACATCGGGCTCTCCGCGTCATCTTTCAGGAGGCCGTACTTCAGCATGTCGGTCCTGACGCCCGTGTACTCGTTCAAGAACTTGGCAACGCCCTCCGGGTTTGCGTCCTTGGGCAAGGACAACCTGCTGTAGCGCCGGACCGCCTCGTTGGACTCGTGTTCGTCGTCAAGGTGGACGGCCCGCTTCAGCCTGCGCTCGTAGCGAGACCAGTAGAGGTCCCATCGCGGATCGTCCCGAACACGAACCAGCTTCTGGAAAGCCTCCTCGCCACCCATCTCGGTAACGATCATGTCTTCGAGCTCGATCTTCGCGGTGCCCTCAGCGATGGCCCTTGCGCCCTCGAACCAGATCGCCTTGCTGTTCTGGCGCGCTTCGTTCTGGTAGGTGCGGAACTTCTCAAGCTCGACTTTCAAGGTGCTCGCATCCTTGCCCGTGAGCGAAGGCTTCGCTGGCTTCAGCTTCGACTGGGATTCGCGCTGCGCCTCGGCCAAGCTCTCCTGGGCGCGCGTAAGCCCCCTCAGCAGCGCGCTCTGCTCCTCGACCCCAGCACGCTGCTGGTCGGCCATCTGGCGCATGAACTCCATCATGGCTGCGGCGATGCCAGCGTCCTGGGACGATGCACCCGGCGTTGCCGCCGACTGCCTCGAGAGTCCTGGTGGGACCGCAGGTCCTGGATCGACTGGTTCAGTCCGACTGCCGAAATCCATGTCGTCCTGCTGCTCCCAATGGCCTTCGGCGTACTCATGCTCATGCGGTCCTGGAGCTTGGATGTCCATCAGCTCCTGGGCCGCCCTCGCCAAGGCCGCCTTCTCGTCCCTCAACTCGCGGGACTCGGCGCGCAACTCGTCGACCTCGTGCTCGTAGTATTCCTTCTCGGTGTTGTGCAAAGCCTGGCTTGCGTAGAAATTCACCCTGGCCGAATCTGCGCCTCGCTTGTGCTCCCGCTCCTCGTGCTGAGCTGATTCGACCTTCATGTCGCACTCAGCCCACGCAGCCGCGATCTGCCTGGACGCCTCGGCCTCCACCATCTCGCACTTCATGGCCGCGTCGTTGAGCTCCCCGCGCAGCTGGTCGTCCGAAAACTGGGCACGTGTAGTCAGCCGCCGCCGCGCCAACTGCGCGATCTCGGACTCCTCCTGCAACTTGAACTTCAGGTCGCTCGCCTCCGCCTTGAGACGCTCGAAGTCCTGGTCCTTTGCGATGACTCTCTGCCGCACCTTCGCCTCGGCGCTCTGGACCTGCTCGGTCGCCTCGGTCCACTCGGCCTGAAGCGTGTCTCGCGCCCTCTAGATCGCTCCGACTTCAGACCGCAGCTCGTTCTCAGCACGACCTGCAACCAAGACGTGATTGGCCTCGGCATCCAAGACCCGCATCTCGGCATTGTGGACATCCCTGGACCGCACCATCGCAGCGTCGCGCTCCTCGACGCACTGCTGCAACTCTTGCTGGATGTGGGTGGTAGCCGCATGTCGAGCACGACGGATCTGCTGCTCGTACTCGCTCTTCTCGTGGTTCAAGTACTGCTTGGCCTCGTCGTACTCGACCCTGAGGCCGTCCCTCGCCGTCTCGAGCTCCGCCTCAGTGACCCTCAAGCGCATACCTACGGTCTCCAGCTCGTGCCTGCCCTGCTGGAGGTCAACGATGCCGGCCACATAGGCGCTGATCTGCTGCTGGAGCTCCACATCGTTGCGGCGCTCGACGCCAACCTGCACGATTCGGCGCTCCACGGTCTGGATCTCGGCGAAACGCCATCTCTCTGCTGGCTCGCCGCCGAAGACCGGTGGGGCTGCCAGCCCAGTGCTTCCCTCGCCTCTGGCCAATGGCTCACGCGAACCTGGACCACCCTGAGCTGCGACGGCCACCAGGCTGGCGACGTCCATCGGCCGCCCGGGACTTGGCAGGGCCAGCCGCGCCGGCGAGCCCACTCGGTGCGGCTCCCGGCGCCTGGGCGCCGATCCCGCTCGTGCGGGCCCTGATCCTCCGGCAGGGGCGTTTCTGTCTGGATTCATTCCTCTGGAGAGCACCTCGACTGATGAAATGCTCCCCAGTGTGTCCACCAAATTTGCCCAATATTCCACGCAATACTGGTTCGGGAAGGTGTTGGAACAATACTGTCAATGATACCGACAAACGATTCGATGACAATAATGTATTTTACCTCGGTCTTGAGCCAAAGTGGTTACAGTCCACAGTCCTCTCGTGCACCTGCTGCGCCCTACGCTCGTGCATGCGCAAATGCTCTGCTACACTACAATGCACATTCAAAAGGCAAAGAACAATTTGTGCACATGTGCTCAAATGGTCTGTCGGCGGGCTGTAGTGGACCTACAGGGCTCAGACTAGGACAGACCTAAACTGTTGGACCTGTCCCGTTCGATTATGGGCCCCATGGCTCACTAGACTGCCCGAAACACTCACCTACAATGAACTCGAGAAATGCACAACCTGGCTCATTATGGATTCGGGAAACCTTTCGGAAATTATTTCCGAAAGGGTTCCGAAAATCGACATTCAGGAAAATACACCCAGGGCCCACAGCTGCAAGCCACAATGGGAAGTTGACTACCCTGAGTGAGAATACAATGACTAGCAAGCTCTAGCAGATGCAAACGCGCTTTTACTGTAAGGCTGAATTTGGTGCAATAGTACGGAATGACACAGGTGAAGGATATCATTTACAGAAGTGAGGGGAACACGCTTGGGGTAAGTTTCACGCCCACGAGTCCCCCGGCGGTAACGAAGGTTGACGGTTTACCGCCGGCGCCCAGTAATAACTCGTAGAGCTTCCCTTAGCAAGTTATTGCTGGAAGCTTAAGAGTAATTCCGGGGCGCTGGAGAGCTAGTTGGCAAGAAAAATCTCGACGGACATTTTGATGACTTTTGGTCGGTTGAAAATTTTGTTCTCGGAATTCAACAATTCGTTAGAGCTCTAGTATTTTTTCCCGTGATATTCGATCTTATTCCCGCTCGCCGTCTTGATCTCAGCTCGATCGGGTACCTTTTACTGCCAAAAAGCACTGCGGCGGGCGGTGACGGTTTTCTCAAGATAACTCGAGCTTTAGGGCAGCTACAGAGCTGGTAAGCACAGCTAATCGATTCAGAATGATCAGGCGCGTTCGCCTGTTGAACCCAGAGGTCTGAACTCGGTCTGCTAGCCGAGCTAGGTCCGAAAACCTATTTGTATTATTCGAGTCATCTTGACAGACGCTCTCGGTTTTCTGTACTTAACTCGAGCTACAGGACAGCTACAGAGCTGATACGTACAGAATCTGATTCAGAATCATGATTGGCCGCTGTCTGTTGAATCCAGAGCTCTGAACTCGGTCTGCTGCCCGATCTAGAATCGCGAAACTATTCGTATTGTTCCAGTCATCTGTCCGTTCTCTGCACTTTACTCGGGCTGTCGGGGGGCTGCATGGCTGGTAATCAGTGGAATCGATTGGGAGACATCAGGCGCGTGTGGCTCTCGAATCGAGAGCTCCGAACTTGTCTGCTGCCCGAACTAGGTCCGCCAAACTATTCGTATTGTTCGAGTCATCCTGAGAGGTGCTGTCGGTTTCCTGCACTTGACTCGGGCTGTAGGGGGGCTGCAGGGCTGGTAATCACAGGAATCGCTTTAGAGAGATCAGTCGCGTGCGCCTGTCGCATGCAGAGGTCTGAACTCGGTCTGATACTCTAGGTTTGCCAAACTATTCGAATTATTCGAATCATCTTGAGAGGTGCTGTCGATTTACGCACGTAACTCAGGCTGTAGGAGAGCTACAGAGCTCGTACAGAAGACAATCCAGAAGCATCGGGGGCGTTCGGCTGTTCCATCCGAGAGGTCTGAAATTGCTTGGGCTGAGAAACTATTTTTTATGTGTAATATTTTTCGACATTATATGTTGTCAGGAAGCTCTACGAGTCCCCCGGCGGCAACAAAGGTTGACGGTTTACCGCCGGCGCCCAGTTCCGGGGCGCTGGAGAGCTAGTTGACAAGAAAAACTTCGACGGACATTTTGACGACTTTTGCTCGGTTGAAAATTTTGTTCTCGAAATTCAACCATTCGTTAGAGCTCTAGTATTTTTTCCCGTGATATTCGATCTTATTCCCGCTCGCCATCTTGATCTCAGCTCGATCGGGTACCTTTTACTGCCAAAAAGCACTGCGGCGGGGTCGGCCGTTTCGAGTCATCTCGATTCGCGCTGTCGGTTTTCTCAAGATAACTCGAGTTTTAGGACAGCTACAGAGCTGGTAAGCACAGCTAATCGATTCAGAATGATCAGGCGCGTTCGTCTGTTGAACCCAGAGGTCTGAACTCGGTCTGCTAGCCGAGCTAGGTCCGCAAACTTATTCGTATTATTCGAGTCTTGACAGACGCTCTCGGTTTTCTGTATACTGGACAGCTATAGAGCTGATACGTACAGAAACCGATTCAGAATCATCAATTGCGTTTGTCTGTTCAATCCAGAGCTATGAAATTGGTTTGCTGCCCGATCTAGAATCGCAGAACTATTCGTATTGTTTCAGTTATCTTGAGAGATGCTGTCGGTCCTCTGCACTGAACTCGGGCTGTGGGGGGGCCGCATGGCTGGTAATCACTGGAATCTATTCGGAGACATCAGGTGCGTCCGCCTTTCGAATCCAGAGCTCGGAACTCTGTCTGCTGCCGAGTCCGCGAAACTATTATTGTTCGAGCCATCCTGAGGTGCTGTCGGTTTCCTACACTTAACTCGGGCTGTAGGGGGCTGCAGGGCTGGTAATCACAGGAATCGATTCAGAGACATCAGACGCGTCCGCCTGTTGCATGGAGAGGTCTGAACTCGGTCTGATACTCGAGCTAGGTTTGCCAAGCTATTCGTATTGTTCGAGTCATATTGAGAGGTGCTGTCGATTTACGCACGTAACTCGGGCTGTAGGAGAGCTACAGAGCTCGTACAGAAGACAATCCAGAAGCATCGGGGGCGTTCGGCTGTTACATCGGAGAGGTCTGAAATTGCTTGGGCTGAAAAATTATTTTTTCAGTGTAATTTTCTTTGACATTACATGTTGTCAGGAAGCTCTACGAGTCCCCCGGCGGTAACGAAGGTTGACGGTTTACCGCCGGCGCCCAGTTGGCAAGAAAAATCTCGACGGACGTTTTGACGACTTTTGCTCGGTTGAAAATTTTGTTCTCGAGATTCAACCATTCGTTAGAGCTCTAGTATTTTTTCCCGTGATATTCGATCTTATTCCCGCTCGCCATCTTGATCACAGCTCGATCGGGTACCTTTTACTGCCAAAAAGCACTGCGGCGGGATCGGCCGTTTTGAGTCATCACGATTCGCGCTGTCGGTTTTCTGAAGATAACTCGAGCTTTAGGACAGCTACAGAGCTGGTAAGCACAGCTAATCGATTCAGAATGATCAGGCGCGTTCGTCTGTTGAACCCAGAGGTCTGAACTCGGTCTGCTCGCCGAGCTAGGTCTGCAAACTTATTCGTATTATTCGAGTCATCTTGACAGACGCTCTCGGTTTTCTGTACTTAACTCGAGCTACTGGACAGCTATAGAGCTGATACGTACAGAAGCCGATTCAGAATCATCAATTGCGTTTGTCTGTTGAATCCAGAGCTCTGAACTCGGTCTGCTTCCCGATCTAGAATCGCGAAACTATTCGTATTGTTCGAGTCATCTTGAGAGATGCTGTCGGTTCTCTGCACTGAACTCGGGCTGTGGGGGGGCTGCATGGCTGGTAATCACTGGAATCGATTCGGAGACATCAGGTGCGTCCGCCTTTCGAATCCAGAGCTCGGAACTCTGTCTGCTGCCGAGTCCGCGAAACTATTATTGTTCGAGCCATCCTGAGGTGCTGTCGGTTTCCTACACTTAACTCGGGCTGTAGGGGGCTGCAGGGCTGGTAATCACAGGAATCGATTCAGAGACATCAGACGCGTCCGCCTGTTGCATGGAGAGGTCTGAACTCGGTCTGATACTCGAGCTAGGTTTGCCAAACTATTCGTATTGTTCGAGTCATATTGAGAGGTGCTGTCGATTTACGCACGTAGCTCGGGCTGTAGGAGAGCTACAGAGCTCGTACAGAAGACAATCCAGAAGCATCGGGGGCGTTCGGCTGTTACATCGGAGAGGTCTGAAATTGCTCGGGCTGAAAAACTATTTTTTCAGTGTAATTTTCTTCGACATTATATGTTGTCAGGAAGCTCTACGAGTCCCCCGGCGGTAACGAAGGTTGACGGTTTACCGCCGGCGCCCAGTTGGCCGACCCGACCAGAAAGGACAAAGTGATCACTAAACTCGTAGAGCTTCCCTTAGCAAGTTACTGCTGGAAGCTTAAGAGTAATTCCGGGGCGCCGGAGAGCTAGTTGGCCAGAAAAATCTCGACGGACCTTTTGGTGACTTTTGGTCGGTTGAAAATTTTGTTCTCGAAATTCAACAAGTCGTTTGAGCTCTAGTATTTTTTCCCATGATATTCGATCTTATTCCCGCTCGCCATCTTGATCTCAGCTCGATCGGGTAGCTTTTATTGCCAAAAAGCAGGCAGGCGGGATCGGCCGTTTCAAGTCATCTTGATACAGGATGACGGTTTTCTAAACATAAATCGAGCTTTAGGACCGCTACAGAGCTGGTAAGCACAGCTAATCGATTCAGAATGATCAGGCGCGTTCGCCTGTTTAATCGAGAGGTCTGAACTCGGCCTGCTAGCCGAGCTAGGTCCGCAAACCTATTCGTATTATTCGAGTCATCGTAGCAGACGCTCTCGGTTTTCTGTACTTAACTCGAGCTGTAGGGCAGCAACCGAGCTTATAGTTACAGAATAACTCGTAGAGCTTCCCTTAGCAAGTTATTGCTGGAAGCTGAAGAGTAATTCCGGGGCGCCGGAGAGCTAGTTGGCAAGAAAAATC